ATATATATATATATATATATATATGTATGTATGTATATGAACAAAGAAAGATGAAAAGTCATTTCAATTTTTATTAATTATATATACAAAAAAAAAACACTTTCTAATGAAACAATATTATGATAAGTAAATTTAGATATTAGCTTGAGAATAAATTAGATTAGTTGAAAGGTCGCTAATTTAATTTATTTATACTACACACACATGTGTGTATGTAAGAAAAATGTCAGCATGAATCATAAAGAGATCAAGCGGTTTAAAGGGATTCTAAAATTTTCGATCAAAATTTAATGCAAAAAATTATCAAGCGACCAATTAGCTTATCTCGCTTGCACAGACAACCGGTAATCCCATTGAACCCAAACGACCGGTCAAATCAGCCGACCAACAACAACACACAATTAAAAGTATAAGCCAATTTTGTCATGTATTGTATCTGATGGTCACAACCATTCAGAAAAGTGACATTCATTCAATTATTTGTATTATAAAGATGATTAAATTAATTACCCAAGAGTAAGAAAAAAGACCAGAATTACTCTCCAATCGTTGAAATAAAGGGGATAATAGTGTAATTGTAAACTCGAGCCACCTATGATTATAAATAGGAGTTGTTTTACGAATAAGGGTTACACGCTCATTTTCCCGAAATTCATTTTGTCTTGTGTGTTGTGGTATATATAAAATTAAAAACAATAGATGAAGTGAAAAATAGAACGAGAAAAATCATACCAGAAAAAAATACACAGATTTATGTGGTTCGGCAAATTGCCTACATCCACAAAGTTGCAGATGATTTTACTAGTTGAGGAATTTACACCTGTTGATCGTCTCCAATTACAAGAGCAAACTCTTCTTTTCACTTCTTCACTCATCTCTCCCTACACTGAGATACACCGAAGAAGAAGAAATACGTACAAGAGAAAATCTATTTCTCTTATTGAGCAAGCCACAAAGAAGAAATCAAGAACACCTTCTTCTTCTTCTCAAGAACGCAAAATCAACTAAGAAAGAGTACCTTGCGAAAACACCTTTATTTATGCCTTCTGCTTCTCGTAAGCCTCAACAAGAATCCAAGCAATCCAAGCACGAAGTTTCCTTTCCTGCTTTTGCGAAATGAAGAAGGCAAGAGTTTTTGTTTCGCGTGAAGGATAAGGAGACGGAGACGGAGACGAGAGCGAGTTCCTGTTCTCGCGCAGCCGGAGGCGGGAGTGAGAGATCGCGAATATCTTCATAATTCAATTTTGATTTACCTGCAGAATTACTAACAACCATTCTCATAGCTTCCCAGCTATTTGACAATGAAGTCAATAAAACCAGTGCATATCTCATCATCAAATTCAATTTCCACAGATGATAATTGATTTGATAGTATTGAAATCATTCAAGTGTTGTACAACAGACGTACCTTCCACCAGATTCAAATTGAATAACTTCATCATCAAATATACCTTATTATTGACCGATGACTTTTCATACATACCTGACAGGACTGTCATAAGATCTGCAGTCGTCCTCATCTTGAAGACATTGTGTGCAACGGACCTCGATAGGGTCAATCGAATAACCCACAGAACCTGTTGATCCAACAAATTCCATTCAGCCTCATCCATTATTTCAGGTCTTTTCCCGAATAACGGAAGATGTAGCTTCTTCCCATAGAGGCAATCATCTATCTGCATCCTCCAGTAACCAAAATTTGTGTCATCAAATATCTCAATGCTTGAAACCTTCACTTCATCCACAGTCATTGTCTCTGATACCACGAACCCTTCAGGTTGGTGCATGTAGACGTCTTTTTCAAGATCCCGATGAAGAAAGACTGTCTTCACAGCTAACTGCTCAAGGAAGAGATCTTCAGTAACTATCATAGACAGTACCATTCTAATGGTAGTAAGTTTCACCATATGAGAGAAAATATCAGAATAATCAATACCGTGCTTTTGCTGAAAACCTTTTACAACAAGTCTAGCTTTGTACCTCTTACTGCCATCATGCTCACTCTTCACCTGGTACACCCACTTGTTGTGTAATGTCTTCTTCTCATATGGAAGATCTGTTAACTCCTAAGTTTGATTTTCCAGCAGAGAATTCATCTCCACCTCATGGCAAGCTCCCACTTGCTCGAATTTTTATCTTGCAAGGTTTCTTCATAGCTCTGAGGTTCTCTATCATCTGTCAGCAGAATGCAATTCAAATTTAGAGAATAAAGCTGTGGAGAACCTCTAGTCCTTTCTGACCTGTAAACTACAACTGTAGGGGAAGACTGCTATAAATTTGATTGTGAAATAATAGGAGTTGATGCCCCAGATTCACTCTCCTCGTCACCTGCATCTCTGCCCTACACTGTAACCATTGGTAAATCGTAAAATCTTACCAACTCAGATTCTTTCAGTGCTGTTTCAGAAATTGTATTGGACTTGTCCTTGTACATAATATTCCCATTAATATTCCCATTGAAACATTGAAAATCACGTTCCTGCTCCTAATGATCTTCCGAGCTTGATCATCCCAGAAACGATATCCAAATGCCTCATCTCCATAGCCAATGAAATAACATTTTCTTGACTAAACATCAAGCTTACTTCGAGCATCAGGATTAATGAAAATATAAGAAAGACATCAAAAAGTCTTAAGGTGAGAAAATTTTACCTCTTTCCCACTCCAGTCTTCTTCAGATAATTCACAGTTTAATAGAACAGAAGACCATCTGTTGATCAAATAAACTGCAGTACTGATCGCTTCTGCCCAGAAAGTAGGTGGTTGTCCATCGTACAATCTCATGCTTCTAGCTCGCTCATCAATGGTCTTTGTTCATGCGCTATGCAACACAATTTTGCTGTTGTATTCTTGTAATGTTCTTCTCTATTATGATTCCCTGAGCTGCACAGTATTCATTGAACCCACCATCAATATACTCACTACCATTATCAGACTTCAGACATTTCAGATTTAAACATGTTTCTGTCTCAACCATGATCTTTCAAGTTCTGAACACATTAAATACATTAGATTTATAGTTTAGGAAATAAACATTTCTGTTATAATCATCAAAGAATTGTGACGTTGTAACAGAAAGTCGCCACACATACATGTGTACAAGATCTAGCTTTCGTGGGTTTTGGCGTCCTGCCCCTTCAAAGAAACTTCCTCTGCGAATCCTCTGGAATCGCCGAAATCCTCCCGCGAAACTTCGCCACGAAATTTATCCCGCGAGTAACTTCTACGCAGACGATCTTCCTTCTATCGCGACTCCCTCGCGATCCGTCTGAACCGAAGACCTTTCCTGCAACGATTCACCCGTTTGCCTCGCTGAAACTGCCACAAATCCTTCTCCAGTTGTTCCTGCGCCGAAGCCCCGCCGTAGAAATAGCCACAAACCACCTCTTCGCACGTCCCACTCGAACTCTCTGTTCGCGAATATTCTCGCCGCAAAGATTTCTTGATTCCCTTAATCCTTCTCGAGGCAGTTATCAAACTGCCTTCGGAACCGCCGAACAGCAGAACTGCCGGCGAACTTCCTCCCGCACTCCTCTGCTGCGGATCTTCATGTCTGAAGCGATTTCGCAGGCGGAGAACTCCTTCGCTGCAGAATTCCTCCCAGGGCAAAAACCTCGCCAAACTCCCGCGCAAACGCCCGCGCGAAACTGCCGCAGTCGCGAACTTTTCCTCACGTCTGCGATTCGCGAACCCTGGCACTCCTCTCGCCAACCGAAGAACCTTCACCTTCGCCTCTGCTAAAACTGCCTGCTCTGCTCTTCTGCGAATTGCGAACTGCGAACTCCTCTGTTCCAATTTGCCCGGATCCTTTTCCTCTTCGTTCTTCCTTCTTCCTGCGTCGATCTCCACCATCCTACAACCTCAACCTCGCTTTGATACCAGTGCCCTCTCAATAATCTCTTTTTTCATACTCTTAACTCTTAGGGACCGACGATTTATGATTTAACAACACACACACATATATATATAGATACATTCATGCATACATACACACATGAAGAATATACTTCTTTATTTTAAAATAAGGGTTGGAAAAAAAAATTCATTTGTTGTACTCTGAAATCAAAAGAAAAGTTAAGAATAAAAAAATAGCACTGATATGTCAATTACGACAAGACCAATTCTACAAATGTCAGGGTAAAAGTAGTTCATTTTGAAAGTGCAATGTCTATACATTAGTTCGTTCATTTCTAAACCAAGAATGTTTTGATTCCTTTGGAACTAACCTCTCAATTCACTTTTTATGTATTCCAAACTCAACTGATTTTTAAATATACTGCATTGTCATCACTGTAACTCGTTCATGCTTCCGGTCACTGCCATTAGCAACTGACATTAGTCACTGCTGCGGCGGCCATCGTCACCTTCGCCGGCTCTCCTCTGCCCTTATAACCCAACTACACTAAACCCTGGCAGTTTGTAAACAGCCTGCTTTACAATTCTCATTCTCATATTCTCTGCTTCTTCCCACCTCCCATCCTCAGCATAAGTATTCGATAACAACACCAACGCACCATCATCGCCTTGCAGTAGCTGAAGCTGCTCTGAAGCCAGCTTAGCTATTTCTTTCTTTCCATAATTTCCACAGCCACTCAACAACGACCTCCAAACTGCCGGCCAAGGTTCATAAGGCATGCTTTCAATCACCATTTTAGCCTTCTCAAAAAGCCCATTCCGAGCTAAAAGATCGACCAAGCAGCCATAATTATCCTTAGAAGGTACCATGCCATGCACAGAGCTTATGGAATCAAAGACCAACTGCCCCTCCTCCACCAAACCAAGATGCCTACAAGCCGAGAGAACAGCGACAAAAGTAGCCTGAGTCGGAAGCATATTAATCCTTCTCATTGCTTCTAAGATTTCAATAGCTTCCATGATCATTCCATGGTGAGCAAAAGCTGTAATCATGGTGTTGAAGAGGATAACATCACGTGAAACACCATTAAAAGCCATCCATGAGCTAATGATATCTCCACACTTAGCATAAGCATCAATGGCTGCACTACCCAAGTAACAATTCATCTCATACCCTGTCTTAATCACAAGAGAATGGATACACCTGCACTGATTAAGGACACCATTATCAGCACAAGAATTAAGAATGCTGCCAAAAATAAACTCATCAGGATTTGCACCAAATTTTCTCATAAAATTGAGAAGGGAGAAGGCCTCATTGTTAAAGCTTTGCCTTGCAAATGCTGAAATCATCGCTCCCCAAGTAGCCAGATCCCGAACCTCAACACCTTGGAAGATCTTATAAGAGTTTCGCAGTGAACCGATTCGTTCATAAGTGTTAATTAGTGAGGTACATATATACCCGCAGGAATTAAAACCAGATTTGATGATTCTAGCATGTATTTGTTCACCTATTTTCTGTTGTTGGATTCCATGGCAAGAGCTCAAAACACTAGTATATGTGAATTCATCTGCTCTAAAGCCATATTTGGTCAAGCATTTGAAAATATACAACGCCTCAGTAAAATGATAGTTCATGTTACACCCTGCTATCATCTCGTTATACGTAATGGTGGTGCTGTCTCCATGGCTGTTGAACAAGAACAATGCTTTGTCCATTAATCCACATTTAGAGAACATATTGATGAGTGCATTAACCACAAGAGGATAATGGAAGAATCCAAGATGGTGAGCGAAACAGCTGAACTGAAGCCCCAAGCAAACATTTTCGCTCGCACCACAAAGTCTAAATATGGCAGAAAAAGTTACTTGATTTGGTTTCAGGCCACTGTGCAACATGTTGGAAAACAAGGCTGCAACTTTATTCACATCCTCTGTGACAGCAAAACCACAAAATACAGTATTCCATGAGACAATATCTTTCTCATGTATTCTATGAAAGACTACCATTGCAAGGTCTGTCATTTCATACCTGAAGTACACATCCACGAGTGAATTCATCATTGAAGTATTGGATTCTAACTCATGGTGGATGATTAAGCTGTGAAGCTGCCGCCCAAAATTCACATTTTCAGAAACCGTGCAGGCTTTAAGAGCGCTAAAAAAGGTAAATTTATCTACAGGAAAACCTTTTACATGCATTAGACGTACAATCCTCATTGCATCAAAACCATAACCACAGAAAGAATAGCTCTCAGCCATTGCGTTCCAACAAACAAAATCTGGATACTCTATACAGTCAAACACGAGCTCTGCTGCATCGATATTTCCGCATTTAGCATACATAAAAAGAAGAGAACTGCTTAGAAAGGAGCTCCTCTCACAGCCCATCTTGAAAGAAACTGCATGGAAGGAGTTCCCAAGCTTAATGGCATCAAGCGCAGCACATGCACTCAAGACACTGGCGAGGGCGAATTCATTAGGATGAAAACCAGACCTCATCATCTCCAAATATATTGCCAAGCCAGTCTCATGCTCATCACTGCGGATGCAACCGGAGATCATGGAAGTCCAGGAGACAAGATTTGTTTGAGGCATTTCACAGAACAGCTTAAGCGCATAGTTCAAAAGCTGGCACCTTGAATACATACAAACCAAGTTATTGTTTGTAAAGATATCATTTGAAAAGCCAAGCTTGATAATTTGGGCATGGGTTGCAAATCCAATGAGTGGGTTGTTGGTGCTAGAGGATAAGGCAAGAGCAGAAGCGAAGTGCACGGGTTGTATAGCGGTGTAGCGGGTGGAGGCTTGGAGAGGGATGTCGGTTTCGAGGTAGTTAGAGCTAAAAGTGGAGAAATTAGTTGATTTCTCTGTGATGGGAGAAGAGCACATGCAAGGCGAAGTTGCGGAGAATTTAGTTGCTTTCATAAGTCGAGTGGAACGAAGGAAGTTGGGAGAGCTCATTATGACTGCCCATTACTTGTCTTCCGGTGGATTCGCGCAGCAAATCAAACAGTCTATTTGCCAACTTAACTACAGCGAGTCTGAGTAACCGATCTCTCTCTCGGCGGCGGTAATGGGAGGTGGCCGGAGCTTTCGCATGGGGCGGAGCCGACGTACGACGGCTGTTTAAAAAAAATTCATATATTTTAAAGGGAAATTTACATACACAGCACCCAATTCTTATACATCTACGTATCAAACCTCAAAACATTCAATTGTAGAAATCCAGTTTTAAAAATACAGCCTCTAATTCATATTTCTCAATAATGTGGAACTGTAAAATTCATATTTTCACGTATAAGTAAAATGTTGTAATTTTAAAATTCATGATTTTGATGTGAGATACATAAATGCAGAAGATTTGGTTGCTAGAGAGTGAAATATAGCTTTAAAAAAATTGGCTTGCATTTTAAGGGGTAGATATTAAAAGTTTAAGGGGTTAGATATGTAAATATATATGAATTGAGTGTCATGTATGTAAGGTTCCCTAAAACAAATAACATTTATATTTCTTCAATTTTAAATATTATGAGGCATTAAAATCAAAATTTTCATATATAAATAATAAAAAAATTGAACATGTTGAAAGAAATTGTTTAAAAGAAAATGTATTTTGTCCAAAATTTTAAAATTTATTTTATGAATATAATATTAAATTTTAAATAATTATATTAATTTATAAGTCTAATATAAGTAAATATATTAATTTCTCCAAAGTTTACTCTGCACTGCTCAAGCTAGAGGTGTAAATGAGTCGAGTCTAGCTCGAGCCAATTCTAATATCGAGTTCGACTTGTTTGTCAGATTATGAGCTCGAATCGAGCTCGAATGGAGAGCTCAAGCTGTGACTTGTAGTGGTAGCAGCCGATTAACAAGTTCGAATTAAATATTCAATGTTTATAGAGCTCACTAGAGAAAGTATTGATGTCCTAAAAATAGAAGCATTCAATGACATTTAATTGAAAAATATATCAAAATAATCAAAAATAAATTAATTGAATCTTCTAGCAAGCCAACGACTCGAGTAAGTATAATATATTTGAGGCAGCTTATTTGGTGCGGTCACATTTTAATAACACACTTGATCTGTTTGGGTAAACATTATTTTCACACCACATCTATCTATATGCGGTGACAACTTTCTAAATGTAATCCAAAAAAATAAAATTTAGTAATAGCCATCCCACCTAATTTATTAATAGATTATTTTTAAGTAGCTTGTGAACGGATTATTCAATAAGCTCAATTCACCCCTAGCCCATACTGCTCGGATGAGTGCTGGGCACGCGGTTAATTTGAATCATAAGCCGACAATTTTGCTTTTTAATTTTTTTTCTTTATAATTTCCAGGGTTTTTAATTTTTTTTCTTTATAATTTCCAGGGTTCCACCGAATGCAGAACTGCATCCATGTCGCGTCCGCTCTCTGGTCTCTGCAAGCAAATCACCAGAGGAAAGTGAAGGGGAGAGGGAGAGGGAGAGGGAGAGGGAGAGAGAGGGAGAGAGAGAGAGAGAGCTTGAGAAGCTAGGCGAGATGTTGAAATCGCCACACCTTATAACGATCGCCTCGATTGTTCTTGGCTGCGTCGCCGCTTTCTTCCTCGGCAAGCATTGGTCGGAGGGATCCCAGCAGCTCATGTTCTTCTACAGCAGCACTGGGGCCAGCGAAGGCCATGTCGCCATTTCTCCTAACGCAAACCGCACATTTGACATATCCTCGCTCATCTCCGATGGGTCTACTTCTCCGCCGCCTCCTCCGCCGCATCCGCCTCCGCCGCCGGCGGCGGCAGCGGAGAGGTTTGGGGTTGTGAATGAGAACGGGGAGATGAGCGATAGATTTGATACTGGGGCGTTAAATACAGATCTGGTGGAGAGTTTGGGGATGGGGAACGAGACGGAGGAGGCGAGTGGGGAGCAAGAGGGCGCCGGTCGGGTTGTTAGGGTTGCGAAGTTCCGATCCTGTTCTACGATCAAGAGCGAGTACATTCCTTGCTTGGATAATTGGGAGGAGATCAAGAAGCTTAATTCAACGGAACGAGGGGAGAAGTTCGAGCGGCATTGTCCAGAGGTGGGGAAGGGGTTGAATTGCTTAGTTCCGGCGCCAAAGAACTACAAGACCCGGATTCCTTGGCCGAAGAGCAGAGACGAGGTCGGTTGATTGAAGCTTCAGCTTTCATTAAATATTCTCAACTAAAAAGTGTTATTTCCTTTAGTGGTTCCCGCAGTTGTCTGACTGAGGCTTAAGAACTGAAAGATTTCTAGACAGTGAGTGTGAAAAATGCGTCTGCGTTATTCCCTCTAACAGAAAGACTCAGTATTAATCATTGTATTTCTTCTCATTCTATTTCTTTACTATTTCTTTACGTTTTACCTGTAGTTTTTTAATCCATTTCACATGAGCTCCTAAAGCTGTGCTTAGGATTAGGTGGATATATTTAAGAGCTTGAACTCTCAATCAACGAGACATTGGCTGCTTTCTACGAATGGCCTCACTATTTTTATCTTTGGAGTAACCTCCTAGGAAGTCACCAATTCCAATAGTGCTTCCCTCATGTGCTTAACTTTGAAGCTTCTGAAAAATTTCAACCATACCAAAATACAACTCGATGTGTAAGGCTTTAAATGGTTTCATTATTTTAAGAGCCTGAACTCTCAACCATTCAGACATTGTCTGCTTTCACTGAATGGCCTTGCTATTTTTTTCTTTAGAGTAACCTCCCAGGGAGTCACCAATCCCAGGAGTGCTTCCCTCATGTGTTTAACTTTGAAGCTTCTTATAAAATGTCAATCATTCACCAAAATGTAGCTCGACGCATAGGGTTTTTTTTTATTTTATATAAAAATTATGCTTTTAATGATTTTTATAATAGATTAAATACTAAAGATGGTGAAAAATATATGTATAAACAATCAAACAAAGAAAAAGTAAAGATTTAATTCATGTAAAGTGTATTAAAGATGAAAATTAAAAAGCATTTTTCTTAGAGGAAGATATTCAACATAGGTGAGTGCACTATTTTGATAAATTTTTAATGAAGTTTCTTAATTTTCAATGAAATTTCTGAAAGTATGATCAAATTTAGTGATCTTAATATCATTAATAATAAAAAAAATGTTTTATTTTTACCTTCACATTAGTAAAAAAGAAGTTGATGAGTCTTTAAAGAAAATTAAGGAGGGAAAATCGGTAGGACTTAATGATGTCCCAATTGAAGTGTGGAAATATATAGGAGATTTAAGAATTTCTTGGCTTACTATGCTCTTTAATATTATTTTAAATACTAAAAAGATGCTTGATGAGTGGATGAAAAGTATTTTGGACCCCATTTTTAAGAATAAAGAGGATGCACAAGAGTTTATAAATTATAGAGGAATTAAGTTGATGTGTTATAGTTTAAAATTATGAGAGAGGATAATTGAACATAGGTTAAGTGGTGATATAAATATTTCTCATAATTAGTTTAGATTTATGCTGAACATGGCTATTATGGAAGCTATACATTTATGGAGAGTTTTGATGGAGAAGTACAGAGAAAATAAGGAGAATTTACATATAATTTTTATTGATTTAGAAAAATCTTACAATAAGCTTTGTTTTAAAAGGCGGGCAAGCTCCAGGGCGAGGCGTAAGCCTATTCGTATCAAGCCAGTGTGGGGAGCATAGAGCTCAGAAGGCTTACGCCTGGGAGCACTCAGAGTGCAATTTGCGCCTCATGAGACGTACGCCCAATCTATTAATCAAATAAAAAGAAAAAAAAACCCTAATTTTTTATACTTACTCAATCCACATTGATTCAAGGTCTCCTCTCAGACTCGGTCTCCCACACCCTCTGCTTCTTCCCTCACACGCAGAGACACAGAAGAACTTGTCGCCATTTGCTTCGTCCCTCTCGCAGCAGGCGATCACGCTGTCTGCTTCGATGTGCACGCAGACGATTCTGCCATCAGGCTTCTACTTCGTCCCTCCCGGCTTCTTCCTGCAGAGGCGATCCCTCGACTACCTCTCTGGCAGGCAGGTAGATCATGCTCACGTACTCAGGCGCAATTCCTGCTCTTTTCTGCACCCGTGCTCTCTCGCAAGCTCAACCCAATTCATTTGGTTAGAGGTTCATAGTGTTTCACGATTTTTATTATTTTACACTATGGCTACAACGAGCTTAGTGTAGCTACAGAAATTTCACCGTAGCTACAGTAAACTGCATAATTTTTTTTTCATGTTTGCAATGCTAGAGACATATTCTTAATATTTATATTTTTTATTTTTTTTATACCGTGGGGCTTATACCCGACGCCGTAGGGCTTACGCCTCGCCCCATAACAGCTAAAATGCCCATCCAATGCTCACACCTTTTAAAACATCGACGACAAGCTTCCAAGAGAAGTCCTTTGAGGAGTTCTAGAGAGGAAAAGTGTTGATATGACTTATATTCAAGTCATTAAAGATATGTGTACTATAGTTGTCACTTTTGTTCGAATAGAATGAGGATTGACCAAGTATTTTTCTATTTTAGTTGGATTACATCCGGGACGGCTTTAAGCTCATATCTTTTTGCTTTAGTTATGGACATTCTTACTGGACATTTACAGAGCTTTTCACTGATGATATTGTTCTCATGGATAAGACTAGAGGAAGTGTTTAGGAAAAACTTGAATTATGGAGGTCTACGTTGGAGTCTAGAGGCCTTCTTGCGAGTAAATCTAAAACTGAATACATGGAATGTAATTTTAGTAGTAGTAGCTCTAATGCAGAGTTATAACTATGGGTGATCAAATCATTAAAAGGTGTAATCGTTTTAGATATCTCAGGTCTTTTGTTCAAAGTGACGGTGATATAGATGGGGTTGCTATTATTAGAAATCAAGTTGGCTGGTTGAAGTGGAGGAATGCATCATGTCTATTGTGTTATAAAAAAGTGCTCCTTTGACTAAAAGGAAAATTTTGTAAGATGGTGGTGAAACTTGCAATGCTTTATGGCACATAATGCCAGCCTTTGAAATGGCAACATAAAACAAAATTAAGTGTTGCTAAGGTGTGAATGCTTAGTGGATGAGTGGCGTGACATTTAGTGACAAGATGCGAAATGAATGTATCCGTGATAGGGTTGGTGTAGCTCCAGTGGAGGACAAAATTAGAGAGAGGCGTCTTTGATGTTTTGGTCACATTACATGTCGAGCATTTGATGATTCTGTTGGGAGAACATATTTATTTTAGATTACACTTACGTTAAGAAAGGTAGAAGTAGACCCAAAAAGACTTGGGCATATTGTATTAAAAATGATCGTAATCTGTTAGAATTAAATGAAACAATGACACTCAATAGGATGCAATGGAGGAAAAGGATTCATGTTGCCGACCTCCTTTGTGGAATAATGGCTGTTATTGTTGTTGTATAAAAGTTTTCATTATCTTCGTACTTAAGCAACTGCCATCCTTGCATTATTTTTAACACAAAAATTTTCACCAGGTAGACGGGGTTTTAAAGGTAGGTTGTACAAGTTAAAGACAATGTTGTCACATAGCATTTTGTCTTAACTACTCTTATGGCATAACACTATACCTATAGGATCTCTTTTTTTATTTTATAAATTTATTTTAAAATGTTCTTGTTGGGGAAATAAGAAGCACTATATGAAATGATCTTTTTAGGAGTTGAGGATACTCTTCTCAAGGGTCTTATTGTCAATGAGAAGTGGTTTTTGAAGCTTTCAAATACTCTTCATAGTCTACCCCAAATGAAGGCTTTTGTCAAGACTAGGTTTCATAGGGCTTGTTTTTTTTATTCTACAACACTAGATCAAGCTTGGTGTATGCTATTTATTCTTCGAGTCTAACTTGTAAGTTAGATGTCTATACACGTTCATCCAAATTGCGGTTGAACTTCTAGGTATCATTCATTCTCTTTGGCTAATTTGTCTTGATTATATTTTCGGTTCTTTTTGTAAGGTGCTCAGTTTAAGGCCTTTTTTTTAGTATATCATATAAAATTTGACGTTTGCTCAACAATTGGATTCATTGGAGGAAAATATTTAAGTTGAGATCTGACTCAATTACGTTCTTCCATCAAATGTCTTGTATGTCCAACAATACTTTGATCGTGATCTTTGCCATTTTTTAGATAAAATAATCTCTTGTTATTTGTTATCCTTTTACTTTTTTTCTTTTCGTTTTATTATATCTTTGAAATAGGGGTTTTTTAGAATACTAACTCTCACATCCTTCGGATATAGTAGGAGAGCATTATTTGTGAAGGTAATCTCATTGCTTGATAATTCTTCTCTATCTAAGCCTCGAAGCCATATCATTCTTTGCGCTAATGATCCAAAGGTGTGGGTGACAATTTAGATTATTAGTTCTATCACCTTCATTTTGAATTTTGATTTTAGAAGTTGGAGCTCCATCTTCTCGGTTTGTTGTAAGATCTTAGTCATATAGTCCTTTTGAAAGAGTATGACTTCTTATTTGTAGTTGAAATGTTGGGACTTTCCCTTTCTTCACCTTTGATGTTGGGTTTGTTCTTAAGGAGTTGCATTCCTCGTCTTGTTCTGGTCTGTGTTGAAGGTGGAGGTAGTAGTAGCTTCACTAAGTTTCACCATCTAATTATATACCTGCTGATACTTTCATCCTTTCCTGTATTGAATGCAAGGCCAATTATCAACACTTTTTTTTGAGGCTTTAGTTAACCTTATAATGATCAAGCCCTTTAATTCAATGAATTTTTTGTACAAACTTTTATGTAACTTAAGGTAGTGTCAATCAAGCTATTCATCAACTAATTATGTTTTATGTTGTCATTATCTCCCTTGTTATTCTGAGCAGTTTTGAATTGAGCCCAATACTACTTGAGGTTTCCATTACCACTAAATGTATGTAATTTTGCCACAATATAACCTTTGGGGTATTGCGCCTACTTGTATTCATCATTGGTGCTTGCGTTTTGCTGATGATATTTTAATAGTCATTTGAGAACCCTTTGATGAATGAGATCTTCAACCACCTCCTATTCAAAACTTTGGAAGTGGTTAGATCTTATCAAGCTTTAGCTTGGACGCCAAAGATTGCTTGAATATTGTGAAAATTTTAGGATTGAACCATTTGCAAGTAGCTTGCTTATTTTGGCTTCCTTCTTCTTTGTATTAGCTAGTTCCTAACTTAAGCCCTCATAACCTGGCGTAAGCCCTCTTAAACCCATGACAGTGCGTCAGCCCTCATAACCCATTGTAGCGGGCTTTGAAAATAGCAACGAGCTATATACACTACATATGTCCTTATAGAAATTTTAGAGTTGATATAATCAATCAATGCATGATAACATGCAAATTTTCACAAGAAAATGAACTGTAATCACAAATAGTTATTTAATATTAACGATAAAAATAGGAAACATATGAAATGCAGTTCCATGATAAGAGTTTCTACCAATAATTGATTAACCCCCAAAAGCATTAGAATTGATTAAATTTTTTCCACTAAAAGGAAGTATATTGCAATAGATCTCGAAGCCAATCGCACTTTCAACTTGTAATTTGAACTAAAATTATTGGTGATGGGCTTGTCTCTTAAGGAAGGTTTTAAGATCTTACACCTGATCAAGTATCATTATATGAAAATAGATGAATAAGGAATATTTGACTTTCAAAGCAGGTTTTTTTGTTTGTGTCATAAATTATTCTAAATCTCAAAATACAAATTTTTGTAAGCCGTATTTGATAGGCACTGTAATAAGAATTGCTGGACAAATTTGAAATGGAATTGCAAAGATGCACCTTCAAGTCGGATAGAAGGAATATGATAGAACCCGCTGGAACACAATATGTACTATAAGAAGATTTGTAGGAAATAGGAGCATATAAACAACCGTGATACTGCTTGTACAATACGAAGCCATAATAAATAGCCATTTTTGTAAAATGTTAGAAAGTCCAAAAAGAGTTATTGATTATCCAAATCCATTCTTAGAAACTAAATTTATTTGACATGTTTCTTCCAACTTATTATAATTTGAAGTTCAAAATATCAAAGTATAAATTCAAAATGGTATTTTGCATTTTCGACAACTTTGGACTGTTTTTATCACTAGGCTTGGGCATTCTAATGAGGTGAGATTGAAGATGCAAGATGATTTTAAGCATGGGAACAATGCTTATTAGGGCAATCAAATTTACCTTTGAAGGATTCAATTACAAACATACATCAGACAAGGACAGAAGATCCACCAAATTTAGAAATTATGTTGTAATTGATTGAACATGATGATTATAATTCAAAGCTCATTCAAAAATCAAAATTTAAAATTCAAATTAATTTTCTGTATTGTTCAACAATCAATGATTTTAAACTTGCATCAGCATGCCTTGATAGGCTTAATCAGGTGAGAGTGAAGTTTCAACACAATTTCTTATGAGGAATCATTCTCCCCTTTGAGAAAAAGGTTGGATAAATTTTAAGAGAGAGGGAGAAGTCACTATCGAGGGTAAAATTTGAGCATGTGAAAGATTTCCGTTGCAGAATATTAAAGTTATAAATGTTTGCGGTGGTGAAATTCTAGCGATGAATCAAACACCAGAGGTCAATATTATTTATCCAACCTTTTCTCAAAGGGGAGAATGATTCCTCATGACCCATAGGCTAGTTTGGCAACAACAGGGACTAGTTCTCCTTGGCTACTTGTTTTACTCTTTCATGGATGAGGCGATGGAGGATGCCCTCATACATAATGTTTTAGTTCAATATTATTCATCCAACCTCTCAAAGAGGATAATGATTCCTCAAGACCCATAGGCTAGTTTGGTAACAACAGGGACTAGTTCTCCTTGGCTACTTGCTTTATTCCTTCAAGGATGAGGAGATGGTGGCAGCCCTCATTTAGAATGTTTAAGGGATGCAGAATTGTGGTCTAGGTTGACTTAATAGCCTGATTAAGTTTGAATTATTTAATAAAATTTGTCTTTTTCTGTTTTGGACACTCCATTTGAATAGGTTCTTATTCCAATGAAACATCTAATTTTCCAATGCTCATAGGTTTATGTAGAAAATGATTCATATTTTTTTAGCATTCTAGAGACTTTGTTGGGAGTGTTACACTAGTAATACTAGAATCAAAGTAAAAATGGTAGATGACCACGTGGTGATTTAAATTGAGACAAGTTCTTAAATGTAGACCACCATAAATTTTACTTTCTTGTAGGCTGTAGCATTATAGGATTTGCTATATATGTTCAATTTGTCCCCTATTGCTGAGCAATTGAGTTATTGTTCAAGTGGTGAAATAGTATAATCGAAATTTTGAATGTTTACTGATGCTAAGATTGTTTTCAACCTAAAATTATTTCAGAGAACTTTTTTCTATGTAATTTTATTAATATCTCATTGAGATTTTTTTCTAACCAACATGATGATTTTAGATTTGGTTTAACAATGTTCCTCATACACGTTTGGTTGAAGATAAAGGTGGGCAAAATTGGATCATAAGAGATAAAGATAAATTTAAATTTCCTGGAGGAGGAACTCAGTTTATACATGGAGCAAATCAGTATTTAAATCAAATATCAGAGGTATTTAATATCTTCAAAGCTTTTGCTTTTATAGTGATTTAGATTATTGTTTTATATCTCATAATTGGATTATGCTAAATTATGCATCATCTTATATATTTTTACGCAGATGGTTTCAGATATATTGTTTGGTTCTCATACTAGAGTTGTTCTTGATGTTGGATGTGGTGTAGCTAGTTTTGGCGCATATTTATTTTCAAAAAATGCAATCACCATGTCAATTGCCCCGAAAGATGTTCATGAGAACCAGATTCAATTTGCTCTTGAGCGTGGCGTGCCGGCAATGGTAGCAGCTTTTGCAACACGGAGGATGCTTTATCCAAGCCAGGCATTTGATCTAATTCATTGCTCACGATGTCGGATAAATTGGACACGAGATGGTATACATTATTATCTTTCTTTTTTCATTCACCAATTTTATAAATATGCTAAGCACTGAATTAATGCTACTTTTATTTCGAGTGCATTGTCTCTGTGTTACTTTGCAACAGATTTAATGATTGAGCCTGAATCTACAAATGCTTTGTATAAAGATTTGATTTGCTTCATTTAGTTTTTTTCTTATGAATATTCAAATTTAATTTTGGATTCTCTGATTAATATGCAATTTTCCCATGGAATATTAGTTTGTCGTAAATCTTTTGTTTTGTGCTCTGAAATTGCAAAACATTGCCCCTGTAAGCTTATCTTTGGTGATGATATTATAGGTGATTCTTTAGCGTGTTATACTGGTACCATTTTGAGGCTGAAGCTGCTTAGTTTTATTTGAGGCATTGAATCTTAGGGTCCTGCAATGATTTATGGGAAGAGAGAGATGTTTCACCTGAATATGATAGCAATACTTGCTGTGCTGTCTTTTTAACACAATAAATCATTGGCAATCCTAGTTTTAATGTGACGAGAAATATGGTATTGGAATTGCAGATTTTTATAAATTTGATATCTTAATTTTTTGAGATGGGAATAAATCGATGTAAGGGCGAATAATGAGAGGTGAAGAGAAAAATAACATTTTGAGAATCATGATAATGAATCCCTCAGGGGCCTGGAGAACTGAAATAAGAACCTTAAGGGGATGGGGATAAGGAGGAAAATAAGAACCTCATAGATAAGATAAGAGCCATCATGACTTATTAGGAGAAGAGAATTTACCAAAGAAAAAGCTATATTCTGCTAACTATTTTAATTACATGGCCTTGAATTAGTTAAAATAACACACCTTATTCAAAGTGACAAAACAATCCATGAATAAGTAAAAAATATTAAATTAATCATAAATGAAAATTGTATTTAACCTCTAATGATTTCTTAAAAGAAATGAGGGCAAAGGCTTAGGCACGACCAAATGAATAACACCGATCAAATTGAAAATATAACCCCACTTAACAATCGATTGTAGCTGTTTGCCACTATTGGTGGTGAAAACTGATGATCGACGATGGCGGCAGACGACATTTGTGAAGGTGAACGGTGGCAATGAATAGGGGCAGTGGTGCCACCTTAATTGGTGTTTTTCATTTATAAAAATATAAAAATTCTGAGAAATTGTTCCAAAAAAATTTTTGATTTAGTTTGACACTTGAAGAATATAAAAAGGGGGATGGAGATAAGTAGGAAAATAAGAACCTCATAGATAAGATCAGAGCCATCATGACTTATTAGGAGAAGAGAAAGTGCCAAAGAAAAAGCCATATTTTGCTAACTATTTGAATTACATGGCCTTGAATTAGTTAAAATAACATGCCTTCTTCAAAGTGACTAAACTATCCATGAATAAGTAAAAAATATTAAATTAATCATAAATAAAAATTGTATTTAACCTCTAATGATTTCTTAAAAGAAATGAGGGCAAAGGCTTAGGCACGACCAAATAAGTAACACTGATCAAATTGAAAATATAACCCCACTTAACAGTTGATTGAGTGATATTGACTTCGGTCTTTAAGTTGGAGATCTAAGGTTTGAAATCCTTTTCAAAAAAAAAAAAAAAAAAAAAGAGCGCAAAATAACTGATGACTAAGGATTAAGAGAGACTAGTTGAGCTGCTTCATAATGTACAACATCCTCTTTATAAGAAGCTTCTGATGTTATGATTGGAAGTGTTCTTTAAGCTTTATTGAGTCACAATTATTCAAATCTGATTTAGTAGAAGCCCAAGATCTTCCAAAAGCAAACTCATATTTTTAAAAATCAAGAAAAATATATTGTTATTAAAATTGGAGACACCAAACTACAAATAGTATATTTTTTATTTAGATAAAAATTGGATGTTGGAGGAAGATTATAAGGTGATTCTATGAGAGATTGTACATATAATATAGATTAGTGGTTATGTATGCAAATCTTGGAAGTATAATTAAAATAATTAAAATAATTAGGATGATATTATGGAATTATAAATGTTATAGATTGTTATTGTTTTAAGATATGTTGACAAGGTTGGCTAATTTAAATTCTTTTATTTAGCCAAATCGGGTGTGGAATAAGATGACTAGTTTCATTAATAAGATTATTGTGGAAGTAGTAGGGGTTTGGAAATAGATGGCGTACTAATACGATAATTTGATAGTAGAATGAGATCCAAAAGATAAATAGAAAAAAAATGCTATTAAAGAGTGACGTATTTAAATTATTAAGGCTTACATAGATTATAAGAAAGCTAGAGTTCTTACAATGAGTATAGCAAGCATTGAATTTTCTTTTGATAATTTATAATAAAAATAGTAGCAAGTATTGAAACATGCATATGTTCAGTGGCTAAATCAAAAGAAAAGAGATCTATAGACTTTAATCAAGTTAAATGCACTTGAATTGAATATAATAGGACATTAGTTAAATATTAAAAAAATAAAGAATTAAGAATTATTAAACAAGAGTTTTAACAAAATTATTTAGAGGATTATAATGAAAAATAATGGCATGTATCCTAGATGAATTCATAAATGTGAACTTGGAAGACGATGCATAAAAGTAAGGTTCTTGGTTCATATGAGATGCAAATAGTGTGGAATGTTGTAGTTATTTGATTTACAATTTATTTCATCAAAACATTTAGAATATGGAAGAATGCGATTACGTTTGGTTTTTAAATTTGATTGACTGAAACAATGAGATGCGTCATAAATATTATTCAGAGGATGTTATAGTAACTTATATGTAAACTTACACATTTGCAACTAAGTCGGCTATATTGTATGAATTAGAAAGTGGGACGGTAAACAATTCATTGATAGTTAAGTTGATGATGGTGAAAACGAGAACCTTGTGGTGCATGGGGTAAAATTATAAGTAATAAATCAAAGCATTTCATATTAGATAAAATGTTATCTTTCACAACAAGATAAATGAAAATAAACTTGAGTGTTTCAGCTATGGTCAACAAAGGCTAACAAATGCGCAAATTAATCAGTTTAATAAAACTAATGTTGAAGGAATATTAATTATTTGTCTTGGATATTTTTAAAATATATGCATTTTTAATTCAAAGTAATTAGATTGCAAGCATTTTAAAAATACGAATTATTTGGTTGGATACAAAATAAATATATTGATTTTTTTTGGTGTCATGTTATGTTATAGTGTGCGGTGTTGGATGGGAATCATGAGTGTCTTTAGTGCAAGATATGAAGAATATGTATTTCAAATCTCTTAAAGCCCATGCATTTCTACTGTGTTTTAAATAATCAAATACCGTAGGAAAGTGTTGATCAACATATTTGATTAGGAAGAAATTTATTTTCTTTCCTCATGATATAGTTTCCCATATATTATTAATTTATATTTTTTATGTTTTTTTTTTTGGCGGAAATCCTAATTTAAAAGTATTATAGTTTCCTATTTTGTTGACCGGTATGGTAGACACACTATTATATATATATAGTAAGGTGTAATGCGTTAGTATAGAGTAGAAGTAAAAAAATATTTTTTCAGATAATCACATGGTATTAGCGACACTGTCTTCTCCTACATGAGAAGACCACAGAGCTTCCTTCGTTCACTTTTGTGGTTCGGTCTCTCCTGTGGATTGTGTCGCTCCTACCACAAGCAGTGCGACGTTCTTCATCTTTTTGGTCCGCATCATCTCATTTTTTCCTCTCATTCCCAACAGAGGACAATCACCAACTCTTGCACTCTGATCAACTACAACTCTGGAGCGCTTTCTTTTTCGAATTTTAGCTGAATGCAATCCGCAACCTCATTCCTTCAATTCAAACACATCATAGGTTGTAGATCACAGATCGTTCACCTTTTGTTTGAATGCACCCAGTTCAGCTTCACTTCTCTCGTAGGCACAAGTCGCAGACCTCGCTCAAACGCTCTGTTCGAACATTTTTAGAGCAATTATGAGATCGATTTGGTCTGCCTTAGCTGCCCTCTCACGAGTTGCCAGCTTACAAATTCTCGTCCTATGTTGAACTCAGAAAACTGAGAGCTGCACACTTCCCACTAATCCCTATTTGCTCATTAGTCGAGCAGTCAAATTAAGGATCCTCTCGCTTTCATTCTAGTAGCAAGTCTCTTTTATTCAAACTCTATAATCTTATTATGATCAAACACAACATGTCCTCACAATCTTCTTCCTCAGAGGTCACCTATAGATTCAAGCCTACTTCTTCAGTCCCTATCATACCTGATAATTATCTCACCTAGTCGGGAAACGTAAACAGAATAATCATAACTTTTTTTAATGGTCACGGTACGTTTTCATGTACATCTATGTTAGAGGGAAAAACATACATCTAGCAAGCGAAAATTTGGCTCCTGAAATGATAGATTCTAAATATCGGGCCAGAAAAATTTTATGATCATGAAGATTGGAGAAAACATCCTACTTTATAGGATGCGAAGGAAATATAGGAGGTTGCACGTAAAACCTACTATAGTACTAAAAACTTCTCAAAATTATTTGAGGTTGAGACAAGAGTACATGAATGTTACTTTATATTTCAAGATCACACATTGTTGGCTGTATTTGGACATATATGAGGTTTATTCTTGAAAATGTTCCAATGACTCTGCCTTTTATAGGAGGATTATTGAACAAAAAAGGATCATGAAATTCCTCCTTGGCCTAAATAAAGTTTTAATTGAAGATAAGGGGAGAATCATGAGAATTAAACCCATTCGTTACCTTCAAGAGGATTTTTCATAAGTTCGAAGTGAGGAGACCAGATAGAAGTCGATGATGACAAACAATCACACGTCACCCTATGTTAAAGGATCAATCTTGTATACACAAAAATTTTTCTCAAAATAACAAGCCCAAGAAAGGTCGGTCATGGTGCGATTAATGTAAAGAATTTGGTCATGTGAAGGAAAAATGTTGGAAATTATATTAAAAATCTACAAATTGGAAGCTCCCTGATGGAAGATATGATAG